ACTACACTACACACACACACACACACACACACACACACACACACACACACACACACACACACACACACACACACACACACACACATACACACAGACACACACACACACAGGCAAAAGACAATCGGCTACTCCAAGGTCCAAATTCCTCAGATAATGCATCCGTGCAATATTAAGAGCTTTTGTAAATGTTGGTGTCTTATTTTGCCCAATAATTATGAAAATAAGTTCTATTCTTTGTCAAAATCCATTATGCAATTGACATCCTCATTCACATGATTTATGTATATACTACCGCTGCACTGCACAAGTAATACTTAAGCGTATCATGAACCTGCAAGACTGGTGAATTGTGTAGTATTTTTTGATTTTGAATCAATTGTCTGACTGGTTTGTAACTGCCATGTAACCGAAATGAAACGAAACCTACAGTGGGTGCTACTGGAAGACAGAAAAATGTCCAGACTGTGCATGATGCAATAAATGACTAATATTATAAAATGGTGGACGTGCCAACCACCACTAAGTATCTGATATCAGCCCAGAAAAAGAACAAGAAAAAGTCATGCCTTCAAACAATTATCAATCAAAAATTGAGGTGTTCAAAGACTTGTATTTTCCAAGAACTATTGTAGACTGGAACTCTTTGCCACCAAGTGCAGGGGTGTCATCACTAGAAAGCTTTAAACAACTCCTGCAATTAAATGTGCAGACAGAAATTGGGTGTAACAAGTCGTTCGGTGTAATGTAGCTAGCTGCTGCCGCGCCGCGTGCCTGTGAAGCTGGTGTGTTACGCCGAAGATCATACCGGCTATACTGATACAAAATGCAATAGCATACCCTGAAAGCCAGAACTCGTTTTCCGGGCCGCAAGAGCCCTTCGCCCGCTGGTGTAAATTACCGCTACGGGGGAGTCTAGCCCGGGGGGAGTTTGGCTGGCCCTAGTAATAGGGCCGGACAAACCCCTCGGCCTCAACTCCCCCGTAGCGGTAATTTAGATAGGCGGGGAAGGGCTCTTGGCTGCCGAAGGAAAAGGGCTAACGGCCCGATACTAGTCTTGCATCCAGGGTAGCAATAGCAAGATACAAGACTATCGTCTTCCTGTAAAAATATCCACTGTAAAAGACGGATTTAAAGCGCTGGTTACCTGCTGACGTGTACGCTGCGTGACGTCTCACCGCCTCGGCTTCTTCGTACGTGTGTGAAGACGCATCGTCGTCTTCTGGCTGCTTGTCGGGAGCGCCGTTGCCCTGGCGGACATGCCCGCGTGAACCACCCTGATGGACGGGACGGGGCTGGGGCGGCCGCTGGTTGGCCGATGCCGGGGCCGGAGAAAGAAGGCCGGACAGCCTCTGCCTGCTCGTACATTTCACCGTCCTGTATTAAACTGTGTATTAACTGTGACAAAAATTATAAATATACAAAATAATACCTTGATTAGTCTGGCTTCGTAAGCTCATATTTGGAAGAATCGCGTGGCACGTGCGTGGCATGAGCGGCGGCAAGTTTAATGTGAGAATAAACCAATCACTACTACATGTACTACTACTAGTAATATTTCTCTTTTTTCTTCCTACTCAATATCTTTAATTGGATAATTATTTTGCATTTCATTGTTAAAAATGTATTTACCTTTCAATCCTTTAGGTTCTTTTCGAATTCTAGTCTGGAGGAAATATATGCGCCATTTTTAAAAGAAAAAGGAGATAGAGCGGTCCTCAGCAACTACAGACCTGTTTCACTGACTTGCATATCCTGCAAACTTATTGAACAACATTGCATGAACAACTATGAAAGGGGTTCTAGAAATGAAAAGAAACCTACAGTGGGTGTCACTGGAAGACAGAGGAAAAATGTCCAGATTATGCATGATGTGAATAATGACTAATAAACTGATGGACGTTCCAATTACTAAGTACCTAATACCAGCCCAGAAGAGAACAAGAAAAGGCCATGCCTTAATTCAAGAATCAGAGTTATCAACGAAGGATTGAGGTGTTCAAAAACAAATTCTTTCCTAGAACTATCGCAGAGTGGAAGTACAGTAAGGGCATTGTCACTGGATAGCTTTAAACAATATGTGGATTTGGATGTTCAAGGGTTAGGTGTAACAAGTCGTTCAGTGTAATGGGCAAAGGTCAGGAATAGCGCAGGCGCAGAGGGCCAGAGATGGCAATGTAATGTAGAGTGTAAAGAAGTGGGAAATGTTGTTGTTTTGGACTTGGATGTTATAGGTAAGGGTTGTAGTATTTTCGTTTTGGTGAAAAACAGACTTGCAGCCATGTTTGTGTTGTCTGGCTGGCTGAAGAATATATAGGTTTACATGCGGTCATCAGCTGTCCAGAGGGGTCAGGGGTCACTTCTCAATGTTCGGATAGAATTCTCACATGGTTTAGGTGCGTAGGATTTTTTTTTCATTTTTGGTGAATGGAGACTTGAGAGGTTTGACTACCCTGCCAATGTATGTTCTTCAAGGTCTAAAAGTCAGGTAATGAATTTTGACCACGTTGTTTTGACGTAATTCCCATATATTAACATAGGAAAGCCCTATTACTAGGCTGTGCCCTGCATAAGATGGAGTGTGCCGTGAAGGGAAGCTGTTTGCCGCTCTTCTGTACGGATGTGACCACATTCTGTGCCCAGGCATCCTTGGCATCCTCGGCTGTCCCTGTGCTCGTGAATGCATCAACAATCTCGCAAGAACCTGCACCTGCCCCAGCATCGGTCGGGTAGCCACGTGAAAGGGCGCACCCGCATGAAAGAGCGCAGGCACGGGAAAGGGCGCAGCTACGGCAACGGGCGCAGCCACGGGAACAGGCACAGCCACGGGAACGGGCGCAGCCACGGGAACGGGCGCAGCCACGTGAAAGGGCGCACCCACATGAAAGAGCGCAGGCACGGGAAAGGGCGCAGCTACGGCAACGGGCGCAGCCACGGGAACGGGCGCAGCCACGGCGGCAGGCCCGTCCACGGCGGCAGGCCTGTCCACGGCGGCAGGACCGTTCACAACGGCAGGCCTGTCCACGGCGGCAGGCCCGTCCACGGCTGCAGGACCGTCCACGGCGGCAGGACCGTTCACAACGGCAGGCCTGTCCACGGCGGCAGGCCTGTCCACGGCTGTATCAATAACCCTAACCCTAACGCTCAGACACCTAGTCTTACGCTTTGCGCGTCTGCGTGTTCAAACAGGTGCAATGACTGTCTGTTGCCATTGTAACTGGTGTTGGGTTACATCATGTTGCAATTTTATAGCAGGAGGGATTTTTACTCCTGTCACCATATATATGAATGTGTTTGAGTTAACAGAGCAGACCATATGCGAAGGTAACCATTATGCATTTTGTTTTTGTTGCTGTCGCACAAACAGGACCATTGGTGGCAACTTCACCATATTTGCTGCATTAGCAAGAACGGACGTGTGGCTGTACCAGACAGGCGTCATGTTTGACTTCCCCAGACCCACCATGCCAAATATGGTCAGCATAGCGGGTCACATGGCTGATGAGGTCAAGCCGCTCAGTGAGGTTAGTTATGTTTACCGAAGGAAAACATATTGTTTTTGCTCTGTTTCTTTCTCTTCTTCTCCAAACCTCTGACCTGACCATGACGTCTGTCACCATGGTGACTGTTGTTGGGCTACATAATGTTGCAATTTCATGGTCTACTCTGCTCCCGTTACCATATACTAATAGTACATGTATGTGAATGTGTTTGAGTAAGAATTAACAAAGCAGACCATGTCCGAAGGTAATAAACATTATGCATTTGCTTTGCAAATGTTACTTCTCTAGTTCATAATTGAATTGAACTAGAAATAGCTGAAAAACGTTGTTTAGTAGTGTGGCGCTGCACTCAAGTTTAGAACGTATATTAACAGCACCACACAACAAAAAAGTACAATTAACATTTAAATACACAAAAGTTGACATATCTGTGCGCCGTAATCCCACCACCCCAAGACATTAAAAATACTAATACTAGCAAATTTATTTGAAAATTAAGATTACATGTTAACCTCCTATATCTCATTGGCTTTGGAGGTTTCTAATTAAAATGATAAATTTCATAACTTTATCAAACTCCATTTAAGGTACCCATCCAGAATGGCCCTAACTCTTACATTCTCCTGAACATACATGTACAGGATCTGGAAAAGTTCGTGCAGAGTTCAGGAGATGCCGGGGTGGTGATAGTGACGTTCGGCTCCATGATAGCGGCTATGCCCGCAGAGATAGCCGACATGCTGGCCGCTGCTTTCGCCCGCCTGCCGCAGAAGGTGGTGTGGCGATACGCCGGGACGCCTCCGCCAAGTCTGGGGACCAACACCAGGACCATGGAGTTGGGTGCCTACAAAGTGACTTACTGGGTAAAGTTATGTCATTTATGCATTTAATCATGATATTAGCGTTTGTGTTGCTATTCGTTTTGCATCCTATTGCTTTCATTTGTATTCTATTGCATTGTAATGCATTGCTTTTAAATTTGGGTGAGTGAGTGAGTGAGGGAGGGAGTGAGTGAGTGAGTGAGTGAGTGAGTGAGTGAGTGGTATTTGAGTGAGTGGGTGTTTGAGTGAGTGAGTGAGTGAGTGAGTGAGTGAGTGAGTGAGTGAGTGAGAGTGAGTGAGTGAGAGTGAGTGAGTGAGTGAGAGTGAATGAGAGTGAGTGAGTGAATGAGGGAGTGAGTGAATGAGTGAGTGAGTGAGTGAGTGAGTGAGTGAATGAGAGAGTGTGTGTTTGAGTGAGTGTGAGTGAATGAGAGTGGGTGCTTGAGTGAGTGAGTGGGTGCTTGAGTGAGTGAGTGGGTGGGTGGGTGGGTGTGGGGAGGGAGTGAGGGGAGGGAGGGAGG